AGTATGTTGTTGAGTTCCCATAGATTTGTGAATATTCCAGTTTTCCTTTTGCTATTACGATTTCAGTCCTTTAAAATGTATTAAATCTTGCTTTCAGGCCTAATGATCTTTCCTAGATAACATTCCACATGTACATTGAAGAATGTGTATTCTGCTGCTGGGTGAACTCATCTGTGTATGTCTGGTAGGTCCAATTTGTCTATAGTATCATTCAAGCTCTGTTTCCTTCTTGATCTTCTGTCTGGGTGTTGTATCCATTACTGAAAGTCAGTTATTGGGCCAGGCACAGTGGTTCATGCCTGTAATCCCAGCACTTTGGGAGGCCAAGGTGGGTGGATCACTTGAGGTCAGGAGTTCAAGATCAGCCTGGCCATAGTGGTGAATCCCTGTCTCTACTAAAAATAGCTCGGCATGGTGGCATACACCTGTAAACCCAGCTACTATGAGGCTGAGGCATGGGAATCACTTGAATTCAGGAGGTTGTAGCTGCACTCCAGCCTAGGAAACAAAGATTCTGTCTGGAAAAAAAAAAGGTGTTGAAATTTCCTACAATTTTCATAGAAGTCTGTCTGTTTCTCCTTTCATTCTGTCAGTGTTTGCGTCATATATTTAGGAGCTCTGAGGTGCGTTGCATGTACCTTTATAACTGTTGCATCTTTTTGTTGAATGGACTGTTATGATCTCTTACAACAGCTTTTGACCTTAAGTCTATTTAGTCTGAGATTAATCTAGCTCCTCTTCCTTTCTTCAGTTACCATTTCCATGGAGTATCTTTTTTCATCCTATGTGTAAGTCTCTTATTGTCTTTAGATTGTGGAAATAATTTGCATTTTTAAAGATTATCATCTGATGAAACTCAATAGCCTGGTGGGTGACTGTGAGCAGTTGTTCTGGGAGGACTCGAGCGCACCATTTACCGGGCCTCCCCATGCCACTGTGGATTGTTTTCTGTAGGGCTTATGGTTTGTTTTCTCTCATTTCCTTCCTTCTGCCTTCCTTTGTGTTTGATTTTTTTGTGTGACACACTTAGAATGTACACACTTTCTTTTGTGTACATTCTTTAGATATTTCTTTGTAATTACCATGAGGATTATATAAAACATGCTGAAGTTATAGCAATTATACAAATATTCTACTCCTTGACAGCTCTGCCCCATCCTATGTTGTTGATGTTACACAAGTATATCTATATTTTAGAGAGAGGGTCTCACTCTGTCACTCAGGCTGGAGTGCAGTGGCACTGTCATAGCTCATTGTAACCTGAAGCCCCTGGACTGAAGCGATGCTCCATAACTGAGACTACAAGTGCATGCCACCATGCCTAATTTTTCTAAATAAATTACATATTTAACATAGGCTTATGGTTACACATCTCTTTTAAATCCAATAAAATAATTAAAATCAGAGATGTAAATCAAAATTCCAATAATACAGGTCTTTATATGTGGCTTCAAATGTCCACCTAGCATCTTTTTGTTTTGACTTGAAGGACTCCCTTTAGCATTTCTTGCAGGACAGGTCCCAATGTAATGAACTATCTCAGCTTTTGTTTATCTGACAATGTCTTAATTTCTCTGGTCAGGTGCTAGGTGGAAGGATCACATGAGGTCAGGAGTTCGAGACCAGCCTGGCCAACATGGTGAAACCCCGTCTCTACTAAAAATACAAAAACATGGTGGTTGACACCTGTAATCCCAACTACTTGGGAGGCTGCACCACTGTACTCCAACCTGGAAGACAGAGCAAGACCCTATCTCAAAAAGATAATAAAGATAATATTAAGACACATTTTTGGTGTCTTAATATTCTTTTTTTCTTATGAGAGTTCATAAGATGCCTTTATTTTGTAACTTACAGCCACCTTTAAATTTGTCCTTCAAATGTTAACTGTAATTGGTGACTGCTTTTCTTAAATACTTCACTGGTGTCCAAGAGGGGGATACCCTTGATTTAAAATAAATAAACCTGGCCAGACACAGTTGCTCACACCTGTAATCCCAGCACTTTGGGAGGCCGAGGCAGACAGATCATGAGGTCTGACATTTGAGACCACCCTGGCCAACATGGTGCAACCCCATCTCCTCTAAAAACACAAAAAAATTAGCGGGGCATGGTGGCACATGCCTGTAATCCCAGCTCCTCAGGAGGCTGAGGCAGGAGAATTGCTGGAACCCGGGAGGAGAAGGTTGTAGTGAACTGAGGTTGCTCCACTGCACTTCGGCCTGGGCGACAGAGCAAGACCCTATCTCAAAAAAATAAACACTAAGAGGAAGACAGAGGACCTTAACTGCAGATAATACTCCATTGTTACCCTGTGGCTATAAGTCTTCTGAGTTGCCTGTCCTCCCAGATGTTCTGTTAATAGCTGTAGTAGCTGACAGTTTTGTATTTACACAGAACAATTCTTGATTCCAGATTCTCCAACCTTCCCGTGGAGCCACAGCACCTCCTGTCTTGGCACTTCATGAGTCCAATGCTGCTTCCCAAGAGGATCTGGTTGGTAGACCGTGACCTTGATTTCTGCCTGTAAGCCTCACTTTTTTCTCATCAGCCACCACCTTTTTGGTACTAGAAGAGTGCTTTTTATAGTACACTCATCAGTAGATCCTGAAATCACAACCTGGCCATTTGGATGTTCAACTAATGCTTTATGCTGTGGAGTCCCTGGAACTCAGCAACCCATGCCGGAACTCACTGGAGCTCAGGTGTGTAGCACTACCTTGTTTCTCTATGGCTGGGCGTGAAAACAGTGTTCATGCATTTGTTTTCCATTTGTTACTTTGGGGGTTTTGTTTTGTGAGACAATGTCTCACTCTGCCATGCAGCCAGGGGTATAGTCATGGCTCACTGCAGCCTTGACCTTCCGGGTTCAAGCCATCATGCCTCAGCCTCCCAAAGTGCTAGGAATACAAGCATGAGCCACTGCACCTGGCCTACTTTTGAGGTTTGAGTTCTTCATGTATTCTAGAGATGAGTCCTTGGTCCAATAGGTGGTTTGTAAACATTTTTCCCAATCTGTAGCTTATCTTTCCATCCTTCTAATTGAGTCAGAGAGCAAAAATGTGGTCCCCCTTGCAGACACTCTGCCCCTGTAGCAGGAAAACAGACACAGACAGTATATAAATGAACATGTGGATGTATCCCTTGAGCAAGCGTCCATTTGTGGTAAAGGGGTCTCTAGACAGATCAGTGCCGAGAGGTTATTTCATTAAGTAATAGTTGAGCTGGATAGAAACTCTAACCCCATGCTTACTTTCTCTTACTCCACTGTCTTCCGTTGCTGCTGGTGGGAAAGCAATTGTCAACATGTTCTTCCTTCTTTCCACCCTCCTCAGTAGCTTTTAGGACCTGTTCTTTGTCTTTTCTGCAATTATGTTTGGATGGGTCTAGGTATGGATGGATTTATTGTATTGGGGACTGTGCCTCCTGACTCTAAAGGGTCCTGGGTCCTGTCTCTGTTTTCATTCTGGAATTTTTCTTGAGACAGACTCATTCTGTCACCAGGCTGGAGTGCAGTGGCAAGATCTTGGCTCACTGCCACCTCCACCTTCTGGGTTCTCCTGTCTCAGCCTCGCGAGTAGCTGGGATTAAAGGCACACGCCACCACTCCTGGCTAATTTTTGTATTTTTAGTAGAGATGGGTTTTCACCATGTTGGTCAAACTCCTGACCTTAAGTGATCCACCCATCTTGGCCTCCCAAGTGCTGGGATTACAGGGATGAGCCACCACAGCCGGCCTGGAATTTCTTTGAGACAGATTGGATCCTCTCATTTCATCCTCCCTTTGTCATATTTTCCAATTGATTAAGCTTTAAATGTCTGTGAATGGCAGCCACTAATTCTGGCATCTGTAGCTCTTGGAAGTCCACTCCTTTTGTTGATACTGACCTCTATGCCTTTTAGTGGGGCTTTGGCTATAGCAATCATATGCAGCACTGGCTAAAGAATCTCAAGGTAGCTAGTGATAGAAATGAATTAGCGGTCCACCCTGGTAGTGGGGACAAACCTTCACATATTTGCTCACAGAAGTCACCTTCTGTGTTGATGATGATTTTTGCGGTATGAGAGCAGAGGGAAAACAGAGGCTGAGCATTTTCTCTAAACAGGAGTGGACATGGTGGCTCAAGCCTCTCATCCCAGCACTTTGGGAGGCTGAGGCAGGTGGATCACCAGAGGTCAGGAATTCATGACCAGCCTGGCCAGCATGGAAAAACACCATCTCTACAAAAATACCTGACTGTATTTTTGGGAGGCTGAGGCAGGTGTATTGCTTGAACCTGGGAGGTGGAAGTTGAAATGAGGCAAAATTGTGTCACTACACTCCAGCCTGGACAGTTCATAAATAAGAGATATAATTGACTCACAGTTCTGCAGGCTGTACAAGCACAGCTCCAGCATCTGCTTGGCTTCTGGTGAGGCCCCAGGAAGCTTACAATCATGGCAGAAACAGGAGGGGGTGCAAAGAGAGAGAGGAGGTACCAGGCCCTTTATAAACAAACTGCTCTCATGTGAACTAATAGAGCAAGAACTCACGCTTCACCAAACAGAGGGTGCTAAGCCATCCATGAGGGATGTACTCCCTCTAACAAATGTGAGATTTGGAGGGGACACACATCCAAGCTGTGTCAGGCTATAAATGTTTTGTTTTGATTCTTAACTCCTTGAATGACAATTATTTGTCCTCCCTGACGAGAGAGAGAGATGGGTTTTCCCTCCGGCTGGAAGGCAGATGCCAGACAGGGGACAGAGTGCCAACCGGCTGGGGCGGCTTGCTGCACTGTGGAGGAGGGGCCAGGGACACGAAGCTGCGGGCACACAGTTGGATGTAGGTGGCCACCAGAGTGCAGGCAGGCTGGAGCTCCCAGGTGCCACAGGGGTCCTCCACCTGAAATCAGGGCCACCCAGTCACTGTCTCTAGCCTAGGCCTCTCCTCTATGCCACTCCCCAGGGTAGACTATGGAAAGGGCTTTCTGTGCTTCGGGGGCCATGCTCACACTCACCACCCAGAAGCAGTTCCCCAAGCTGGAATAGAGGTCCTGGAAGAAGGCCAGGCTGGCAGGGCTCTGTCCTGGGCAGGCCTGCTGAGTCTTCTTGGTGGCCCTGCAGTCACCATCCACCTGGTAGGACAGACACAAGAGTCTGGCCTCCCGCTGGACCATGTGGCTCCCCCACACACATCGGCCTCAGCAGGAGACTTCCCCCCACCCTGGGCCTGCAAAGACCTCTGCAGAGCCAACAGGCCACCTGCCTCTCCTGGGACTCTGCAGTGAGCAGTCCTGAAGAGCCTCAGCCAGAGGGAGGAAGGGCAGGTGCACCTGCTCACCTGCCAGGCCAGGCTGAGCTCCTCTGTGGGCCACAGAGTCATCCAGCAACATCAGATCATTGCCTGCTTCATTGTCATTGGTGCCTAGAAGGCCAGCGGATATGCCTGTGAGGAGGAGGGAAACTGAGGAGGTCCTTAGAGCCCGTGATCCTCCCCCAGGGGACCTGTATGAGAGACGAGCCTGAGGCACACAGAGGATTGGTAGAATCCCTCCACCCCCGACTCCCATAGCCCAGGGCTCTGGCTCCAAACTCTCATCAGAAGAGGGAGGGAAAGTAGGAACTGACGACAACGTGTGTCCCCCCATCCCCTCTCCACGTCCTCAGCTTGAGTGGCCAGAATCCAGGCCTGCCCTTTGTGTTCTTGGCAGAGGGACCACAGAAAGGCCAACTCCACCCTGGAGCCACCTATCCCAGGGATGTGGGCAGAAAGCCCTGGGCCTCGGTGCCTTCATTTCAACCACAGTGGCCGCCTACAGCCCCGGGGACCTGTCACTGGAAGCTGAGAATGGTGCATCCCGAAGAGGCTTTTGGTGGTGATGCCAACCCTGCTGGGGCCCAGACTCACCGTGGTGCCAGAGGCTCAGAATCAGGCTGCAGAGGCCGGTGGGCACGTCACAGGAGATGGAGACCCTGTCCTAACTGGTCAGCTCAATCCTGGGGACGTCTCTCCTCTTCATGGCAAGAGGCAGCTGGAGGTCTGGACAGTTCTCCCCTGGGAGGGAGGAGTTGTACAGCCTATAGGCCTGTGGACAAAAGGGGGTGGTCAGGAGGGCTGACCCACAGACAAGCTTGAAAGGGTCATCTCCCCAGGCAAACTGCCACAGGCACAAGTCTCCAGGGGAAGCTCGGGCCTCTCCTCCTCACCTGCAGGCTGGGGTAGAAGATGAAGGTCAGGTGGTTCAGCTCCACACAATCAGGGCCGTGAGCCCCGAGAATGTGTTGTGAGCAAAGTCTTGGGCCAGCAGGATGCTGCCACACTGGGTGCTGAGGTTTCACACCCAGCTGTCAAAAGTCACCACATGCTGGGCCTGGGCCACCAGGGCATGGTCTAGGGAGAAGCAGCCCCAAAGGCAGGGTGAGTGGAGCTCAATGCCTGCTTGGCACCCCAAAGCCTAGAGCCCTGGTTTAGCCTGCCCTGAGGCCAGGAGTCCCAGCGATCCCTCACCTGCTTCAGGATGACATGAGCTGAAGGGCTATGGCCCAGTTCAGCCCTAACAAGGAATGGAGTCCCCAGACCCGCTACAAAACTGCTAAGTAACAAAGCCTGGCTCAGGGGCCACATTGTCATACTTCTGTTTACATCAGATGTCCAGAGCAGCCACAGCCATGGACACAGCAGGCAGACTGGTAGCTGCAGGGTTTCATTTGAGGATATTTCTAAAATCAGCTGTGGTGAGGCATGCACAACTCTGAATAAACTAGAAGCCACTGAATCGTGCACTTAGAGTTCACACATTGGCCGGGCACAGTGGTGCTAAGCCACCCCAGCACTTTGCAGGGCTGAGGCAGGAGGACCACTTGAACCCAGGAGGTCAAGGGTGCAGGGAGCCGAGATCGCACCACTGCACTCCAACCATGACAACAGAGTCATGCCCCATGGGGCAGGGGGCTCCCAGAAAGGAGGGTGGCACAGCCTGGGGCAGGATTCACACTCCCAGGGACCCTGCAGCAGGCAGCATCTGAGCTGGTAGAACTCAGGCAGCACAGTGACCCTGGACAGCTCCCAGAGTGGCCACAGCAACTTCTACTCCACCAGGTAGCTGGTCACACAGGCCATGTCCAGGGCTCATCCCCTCGAGACAGCAGTGGCAACATCGCTGCCACTGAATAGTTCCTAGAGGGAACACACAGGACAAGTCGCTGTGCCTGGCCAAGCCTTGCATCTTTTGGCTGCAGAGTGGGAGCTCACAGGTCCGCATAAAGAGCTCTGCCATGGAGAGCATTGGGGTGCCTCTTGGGGAGGGGCTGTCCTTGTTCTAGGAAATCCCATAATGAGGTGGAGGAGAACAGAGGCTGGCATGACAGCGAAGGTGGGCGGTGAGGCCGGGACAGAAACAAGCTGCCCTATTTTGAGGACACAGATGTCTGATGCCATGTCTGATCTGCCCCCTGGGTCTTGTGCAGCACAGGGCCTGTGTGTGGGGATGCCAAGGACAGGAGCTGGAAGGTGTAGGAAACTGTTTTGTTTTTTGAGACAGAATCTCATCCTGTTTCCCAAGTTCAGGTATAGTGATACGATCTCGACCCCCTGCAACCTCTGCCTCCTGGGTTTAAGTGATTCTCCTGTCTCAGCTTCCAGAGTAGCTGGAACTACATGCACTCACTGCCATGCCTGGCTAATTCAGATCTCACAGGCTTGACCCTACTCTACATATTGAGAAAGTTTCAGTCCACCCCTCAACTGTAGAAATTTCCTGAGATCACACCACTGAGACAGAGTAAGACTCCATCTCAAAAAAAAGATGATTACAAAACAAAAGCAGGGAAATGTGACAGAGCAGAATGGCCTGCTTAAGAGGTGACTCTGAGGCTCTCTGCAGGGAGCAGTGCACACCCTGCTGTAGATTTCTTGTGTTTCGTGTCTGTCTCTGGGTAAAACTGAGCTTCCTGAAGGCAGGGGTCAGCCTCGCCCACTGTGGTCCTCTGCAGCAGCTTCTAAAACCTGCCTGCACGGGATCATGCTCAAGAGGTCTCTTTGGAGTGAGGAAGAAATCCCAGCTTCCTCTCCTGTGAAATGGGGAGTGAAGAAGCCTTTGTGTAGGGCTGTCAGAGTCAGAGCATGTCGAAGCATTCAGCATTGTGCCTGATACGTGGCAAGAATGCTGGATGTGCCACTCCCAACCCTGCGTTACCTGGTTACGAGGTCATACAGGTCCAGCAGGGGTTTGCAGTGCCTCTTCAGTGCCCGTGACAATGTGGCCTCAACCCAGGACAGCATCTGGTGGGTCACCTGGAGAGGGAGGGGACAGTGAGAGCTGTCTCAGTCGTCCTCAACTGTCAGCCACGCCCCAACCTTGCTCTGACTCTCCATCTCCAGGGTGCCTTTCACAGCCCCCAGGGCCATCCTGCTGGGCCTGGGACCCCAGTTGCCTGGCATCCCGGGCACCCAGGCCTGTAGCCACCACATGGCCGCCTCTGCCCACTCCCGCCACACCTCCTTCAGGGGCCACAGCAACACTTCCAGGAAGGCATTTTTCAGTGTGGCCAGGGGCCCTGCAATGGGCAGCCACCACCCACCATGAGGCTTCTGGGCAGCTGAGAGGCCCAGCCCACGACTTGAGGAGATAGGGCCTATTCCTGGGATTAAGATGGTTGGGAGGAGTGGGGGAAAAGGAATAGAGCAGAAGGCACTGAAGATTGCAGGCAAGTTGTTACAGCAGAACCGAGCCACCTCTGCATGGCCTGCTCACAGGTTGTCTGGAGACTTTGATTGGGGGAGGGTTCCCACCACTCCTAAAAGTGATACAAGGCTCTCTGCACCTGAACTGTTTGTACAAACGCGGTTTATGCCAGACCCCTGCTTGCCTCCTAGGAGTCTGACAGCGTGCTCTGAGCTAAGCAGCACCTGCCAATTAGGCAGCCCCACTAAATACCCTGGGTCACATAGTGCTGGGACAGCCAAGTGCATCCCACGTGAAGGTGCAGGGACAGCACCACTGGGTGCTGGCCGTGGTTCCTCCTGGACTGCGCCCCGGCCCCCTTCCCTGTGCCAACACTCCTGCCTCCTCTCACTGTAGTCAATGACAGCTGTGAACAGCACAGTATGCCGAGTCATGGAGCACTCTTTCAAATTCACTGCCCTGTGGGTGGCCATGGGACTCTGGCACAGCAGAGAGGCTACGGAGGTGACATTCAATAGCCAGTCAGAGGGACACCCACCCTGGCATTGGGCCCTGGATGGTGGAGAGGCCAGAAGTTCCTAGTCCTGCCAGGAGGGCAGTTGGGGCAGCTGCTGTGAGCGTTTAACGGCCACAGAGAGCTCATCGTGGAACCAGAAAGAGACCCTGTGGCAGTGAGCTTCACAGAAGCAAGGCTGTACACTCAAAAGAAAGCAGGTAGAAGACTAAGGAAACTGAGGCAGCAGGTATAAGGGATATTAGCTTGGAGACCTTGTAAGAATAAGACAGAAGCCCATGAAAAAAAGGTTGGGTCAGGCACGGTGCCTCACACTTATAATTCCAGCACTTTGGGAGGCTGAGGCCAGTAGATCATGAGGTCAAGAGATCAAGACCATCCTGGCCAAAATGGTGAAACCCTATCTCTACTAAAAATACAAAAATGAGCCAGGCATTGTGGTGCATGCCTGTAGTCCCAGCTATTTGAGAGGCTGAGGCAGGAGAATTACTTTAATACGGGAGGCAGATGTTGCAGTGACCCGAGATCATGCCACTGTGCTCCAGCCTGGTGACACAGCGAGACTCCATCTCAAAAAAAATAAGCCACCACCATTTGCAGAACTGGATGTCAAAAGGGAAAAAAAAGTGTACAAAGTTAAATGCTTGCTGTAGAACTACCACCTGTTCAGCTGCTGAGCACACCATCATTCCTAACTCAGCAAAAGAACCCCCACTCCAGGAAAAACTAAAAGAGAACTGCTGTTTCCAAAATGCATTTTTATGGTTGGAAATCTGTTTCCCAAGCCCTCCTTCCAGGCTGAGGCCAGTGGATCACGAGGTCAAGAGATGTGGGGCTGGAGATGCAAAAGGGAAAGTCACCAAGGCTGAGTTTCAGCTGTCTGCATCCTTGCAGCAAGGGCCAGAGGGCCATGAGGGGGTTCCCTAGCTCCCACCGTCCACGCTGGACTCACAGGGCGCAGCTCTGCTGCAGTGGCCAGGCTTACCTCCATGAAGTGATTGCTCAGGGTGCGCCCCGAGTCATTCTTGAAGGTCTGGCTGACACGGAGATGCCTCTTGTTGCTTCTCTCATCCCAGTGCTTTCCATAGCTCACCTCCAGTTCAAGTGATTCTCCTGCCTCAGCCTCCGGAGAAGCTAGGATTACAGGCATCCACCACTACGCCTGGCACATTTTTGTATTTTTAGTAGAGATAGGGTTTCACCACGTTGGCCAGGCTGGTCTTGAACTCCTGACCTCTTGATCTGCCTGCCTCAGCCTCCCAAAGTGCTGAAATTACAAGCGTGAGCCACTACGCCTGGCTTTTTTTTTTTTTTTTTTTTTTTAAACTTATTATTGGTTTATTTTAGAGATAAGATTGTGGCACCATCTTGGCTCATTGCAACCTCTGCCTCCTGGGCTGAAGCAACCCTGGATGAATAGACATAAGACTGAGGCTGAAGTGCCAGCCCTGGATCCATTCCTATATGGCTATGCTATTGGGAGCAAGTTCATCTCTTTGGGGATGAGCTCAGGGTACTCAGATTACCACTTGCCAGACTCTGGTGCTCTCTCTGGACATCCCACGTGGCCTGGGCACCCACCTTGTGGCTGAAGGCTGGGATCTGTGTGCAGTGGAGCTCATGGCCCAGCTCCAGCCTGTAGGCGGCATCTGAGCGGCTCTCTGTCTGCAGCCTCTGGCCGGTGCTGCACTGGTGCCCTGGCTGCTTTGCCTGAGCTGTGAGGATCAATGAAGGGACCCCTGCCCTCCTCTGCCAGGCAGCCCTCCACCAGGGCTCCAAGAGGAGGAGGACCCAGCCCAGCCTGGCCTCAGCCATGTCCTCCCAGCCCTGTGCTCTGCTTCACCTGTCACTCCATTAGAACCTGTCCATGGGGAAGTCTTAAGAGATGGATGACTGTCCCCTCAACAGACACACTTTTTAAAAAAAAATGATCAGGTACTATGTCTTACTGAGAGCCCACAGAATGACTAATGGAAAATCCTGTGGTGACAGCATATCTTAGCTCACAGAGCCATAGCCGCAGGAAACGGCACCTGCCCCGCAATCAGGCCTTACCCAGGAGGCTGTACTGGATCCTCAAGCAGTTGGTGCAGAGGTGGCCCCGCTGCTGCAGCAGGCCAAGGGCACGCAGCCCCACCAGCCCTAGCATAAACAACTCGGCACTCACCCACCATCCATCCTCCTCCATCCTTTCCAGCAGTGCTGCAGGGACAGAGAGCAGGCAGGTCAAAGGGTCAGCCCCCAGGGACCAACAACCCTAGCCCCAGGCAAAGAGGGGACTCAGGATACCCCAGTGGCCTTGGGGTTGGGGGGGGCTTCTTGAAGAGTCAACACCTGTGCCCTGCGCAACAGCCCACAGACAGGCCTGATCACGGCTCACAGCAGCCTTGACCTCCTCCCACCTCAGCCTCCCAAGTAGCTGGTACTAGACACTTGCCACCACATTGGCGCGCGTGTGTGTGTGTGTGTGTGTGTGTGTGTGTGTGTGTGTG